GAACTCGTTTCCGCCGACCGAATCATCATGGACTGCCCACTATGGACACGTAAATCTATGAGAATTGCTGGTGAATGTGAAGTCGGAACCATCGTGATTGAAAATGAGAAACAGCTCATGGATGCGATCAGCTATGCACCACATGCTCGGTGAGTTAATAGTTTTTAGAATGATTTTTAATTTTCTTGTAAATATCACAAATATCCATTCAGCATACTCTTGGCTATCTCGCTGACTGAATGTCGTGCTGAAAGTGATTCATTGATGGCTCACAAAGGTGCCCATATCGAAGATGTCGAAGGTCTCCTAATGACAGCATTTGAGCTTAGAGCGAAAGTAGTGGGAATCAGGTAACGACTGAGTTCTGAAATACTTTATTTAATTAGCCAGTATTGTTTCCTATTTGGTCAACGAGGTTCTTTTGCACGAAGCTTGCGGCCTCCACCATTGCGGGATTGTTACTAGAACGATTGCCGTAGCAAAATGAGGCCAAAATAGAAGCCATTTCAAGATATTGCTCATCCAGGATGTAATTGGTTCCACAGGGTGAGGGAGTGGAATGGTACAGTTTCACAGAAGTTTCCGATTTTATCGATCAGGTCTGAATTGACGACAATTCTTTGTAACTTGGTCTTGCTGTTGCTTTGTTTAGTTGTTTCCTGCTCTCTCAAGACCTTCTTCCGTTTCTCTCTCATTTTAAAGGGTCTTTAAACTGATCGAATATTTACGGAATCGATCGATCCCCAGGACGTAAAGGTTATGCCAGCCTTTAGGAAATGAATGTGTTTGAGAGTTAACATTGGAACCACGTCGCGTCCCTATTGTATTCAATATGCTTGCTTAGATGATCCAACCATGGAACTTTCATCAGCTTTGACCGCAAGATCGCAGTTTATGGCATACTGAATATCAATATTGAAACCCTTATCTCCCTTCTTCTTTTGATTTCAATTCGAAGTTTGATAAGTTCTTCTGTTCTCGTAGATGCAGTTAAGAGGTTGCTTATCTGTGCAGTACTTCAACCTCTAGCCGGAAGCCCATTTCCGACATAGATTCGGAATATCTATCTCGATCTGATTGGCCTTTTTGGCGCGGTATGACATGATGGTACATGCCGTTATGTGAAGGCCAAAAATTAAAGCCATTCAAGGAGGTGTCATCCAGGGATTAATAGTGCCGAAGGGTGGTGCATCTTGAAATGGTACAATACACTTTGTAGATTTTCTTCCTCAACCCAGAAACTTCCCATAAAACATTTCTAACCGAGTTATCTGCTAACTTTTTTTAAACAGAACTGCTACCCCCGAACAGTTGATTACAGCGATAACTGTAATCATCTGTTCGGAGGTAGCGGTTCTGTTGAAAAGCTGTAGTCAAAGATAGACCTCAAAGTTACTGATACGTAATCAACTGCAAAGGCTTGGTATGGCTATTTCCTCAGGGGTACGCCTATTCGAATTCAGAATTGCTGGTTCTTCGATTGGTATTTGTCCCACTCATTTAGATGATAGTAGTAGTCATTGAGATCTGCTAATTTTTGAATTTGATGGTAGCCTTGGAAATACTGCTGCTGAGAGTTGGACTCATCATACGCTTACACTTCTTTTTTGCTTTGAAGAGTTTCTCAACAATGATTGAATACGGATAATTCTCATCATTTTACATGGTTTGATAGGCCTCCGATAGAGCGAACGTGGCATTGTGAAACGTTTCGTACCAGAATGAGGCAAAATTGTTGTCATTTCACTTTGCATCCTTTCAAACATAATACTGTTGAGGGATATTGCCCGGGAAATGTACAACTAATCCACCTGACTGTTTTACATCATCAACTAGAAAATATATTCGAGCTGAATAATTATACCCCCTTGATATTGTCACAAATTCGATTATGTAAAGTATTCAGTCGTTCATAGTGCGGGGCAAAATTATAAGTAAAATAAAAAGCAATTTTTCATCAACAATATCATATTGGACTTGCTGCGCAACGGAACCCTACAAAATTCATTACTTCTGGGTAGTTCTGGACCTGTCTAATATCTTGTAATGTTAGTTGCAGGTGAGAGAAGCATGCAGCGGCATGACGTTATGACAGCACATACTGGCTAAGTTTAGTGATGGGATGAGTTTCAGTGGCTTTTTTATTGGCATTCAGGCTTGTTAATGCATAAAGTGTCATTGGGTTATAAAGTGATATAAATTAGTTGATCGTCGGTGGAGGTAAAGCGGGGCAACGTCAATACGTTCCAGCTTATGGGATCGAATCTCGCCCCAAATACTAACGTTCACTCCCGCTGGATACGAACTCTATAGGAGATTTGGAGTTTTATACTTAAGTTTTCACAACCTCGACTGATTTATAGAAACTACTACTTAGGGGAGTACCTACCCAGATGAACCTGCGAATCTCGGCAGAACTTCGTTGTAGGGTATAACTCTTGACCATGATGGGCATTTAGGATTAGCTTGAATATCATAATAACTAAAATTTATCTCACATCAAAGAGCGACATGAATGTATTGGATAATTGTCGGATCGAACTATAAAGCTTCATCTCTGACGGCCTATCTACTGGTATGGTATGGTGTCATGCGTACCGTACTACTAATAGGCCAAAAGTGACACCATTCCCCGAATATAAGAAATCAAGACTCATGTGTCTAGGTTTAGAAGATGGAATGGTACACTGTTCTTCTCATACGGGCTGGATCTTCTCTTACTTCTATTTACTTGAGTTCTTCTTCTTTCGGATAGCTTTCGGATTCTCTCTCTTATCGATATCTTTCTGCGGCTTCAAGCCGCCACGATATGACTCTATCGCACATATCGTATCTCATTGAAGCCAAAATAAAAGTACCATTCCGATGTGCAGTTCATCCAGGGTCTTAATACCAAAGGGTGAGGTTCTGAAATGGTACAATGACTTATTGGGGATCCATGGTCCCTTATTTGTGGAGGTCTCTGAAAACGAATTCTGACGAGCAGGACAAAGAATAGTTGTCAGAGTCGGATCCATGCTTTGAGTACTACATTACTTGTCTCTCATGTTTCTTAAAAATGTTAGTGCACTTACAGTTTCCTTACTGTAGGTGTTGCATCCTATCGAGAATAAATTGATGCTGTTTTTAATAACATATTGCAGTAGCTAATATAAACATATTACTAAATACAAATTACCACATTACTGTGTGTTGATCCTGGGTCACACTGTCAAATTTAGAAAGATTTTAAATTAAAATTTTCGAATTCTCATATAGCGATTCCCCTTCTCTAATTCTCCATCATTCCTGATACTGATTACTGGATAACTTCCAGTGGTTCTTTTCTCACCTTATCCCAAAAATGTCACCAAACAAGTCTGTTTCCGGGCACTTATTTCCAATTTGGCCATATTCCTATGGGTCCCACACAGAGACTTTAGTCGCTATGATTTGGTAGGAATATGTAGTACGACGTTCAGTTCAAGAAGTACTAAGTTCAAAAAAATTCATCAGTCTGTTTCAGGGAGAGTTCGGTATGTGATTTTTTCGAGAGTATTCACTCACTCTCTTTCCTCTTCCTTCAGTTACTGTCTCGGCCCAGTTTGGCGAGCGGTATGGCGTGCATGGAGCATATCGCTTTCAGATGAGGCCAAAATCGAATGTAATTCGATACCGGCTCTCCATAGTTTTTCTAAAAGCGGAGGGCGATTACACGGATTGCACAGTTACTTTTTGCTTGGTCTGTGTCTTCAATGTCTGTAAAGATCAGAGTCATTCGTTTTTCATCCTCATCCTGAACAATCATACAAAGATTCCTCTCAAGCTTCTTCTTTTCCTTTCATCTCAGTTCGGTGGTTAGGATTTGTAGGATTCACTAACTTGATCGAAAGTCTTGCCTAAGCTTCCGTTACTGCTCGATTTAGAGGGTTCAAGCCGTCTGTGGAGAATCCTGCTGGGCAGCGATAAGTAAGCGGTGTGGGACTTGTCTAAATTAGGCCTTTGTCTGATGTACGTTACGGCTTCTATAGTATCGTTCCACATTCGAGGCCAAAATCAAAGCCAATTCGATTCCACTTATCCATGGTTTGCTTATACCACAGGGAGGCACTCCTAACTGGCACATTTTCTTGAATGCTATTAGTCTCCCTCTGTATAGGAAGCACTGTAATCCACTGTACCATCCTTATTCCCAGTAGTGTGTTCCCCGAACGCTTGGGAGCTTCTTCATTTTCTCCATAGCAGTACTGTATAGTATTAAATGAATATATCAGAAGTCTTTCTCTGAAATCCTTGTCACTGCCTGACTAGCGAAAAATCCAAGTCCTCAGCGAAACATATGAATGTTCTGTAGGGCATCTCATGTCAGGCAAGTGAAAGCTAGGCCTCTACTTATAAGCGGTATGATACTATGGTACCGTTTGAGTTTCGGGCC